TATATATATATATATGCCTTTAAATTAATCTTCAAATTACACAGAAGTAAATACAAAAGATTACATTTTACCTAACAATTCCACAGAAGTGTCAATAAGTCGTCCTAATTATTAAAAAAACATAAACAAATTAGACAAACTGCAGCAAAACTGAAAGTTAAAATGGCATTCAATAAATAAATAAATCTCCATAAATAAATATTTAAGTTAAGGCTAAAAAAGATTTCATTAAAATCGTCATAAGTACGAAAAGCAAAAAAAATAAGTTAAAAACTGTAACCATTTATGTAACAATGCATTTATATGCCTATGTAAGCTATACACAGCAATATAACTATAACGTTTAAATACTAAACCAATTGGATAAATCAAACACTAATAAACTTACAATGATTATCTAATATAATAATTAATTGTTGGTGAGCTAATCTAAGTAACTAATCAATAATAAACGTTGTTATTAATTCTATAACGCTTTTATTTATCAAACATAATTAACTAATAACAAAAACTGTAAAGGATTTATGTAACAATGCATTTATATCTAAGCTATACACAGCAATCAAACGTTTAAATAAAAAATTAATTGGATAAATAGAAAAAAACTCACGATGAACTTGCAAACTATCTAATTAATATGATAACTAATTGTTGATGAGTTAATTTATATGAATAAATGATAAATGTTGTTAGTATTCTATTACGCTATTATTTAAACAAACATCATTAATTAATAACAAAAACTGTAACATCTCAATGTTAACATTGATCCATATAAATACTCATTTATATGGATCAATGTTAACATTGAGGTGTTACAGCTTTTGCTATTAATTCTATTACGCTATTTTTTAACAAACATCATTAATTAATAACAAAAGTTGTAACCTCAGTGTTAACATTGATGCATATAAGTACTCATTTATTAGCCTACTATTGTCGTTTGTTATCATAATTGTTATTTATCAATTGATATTATTATTAATCTACATTACAATTGATCCTTATTATAAGATTAAAATACTACCGTAATTCGTATAATTAATATATTTCTACAAAGTTGAATGTGAACGATAGTATACGAACAAATTTGATACAAGAATTCTTACCATTAATATGTGTTTTAATAAACAGATGTCTTGTAAATAATTCTATATCTGTTTACCAGCAGATGTTAATTAATTAATAATTAATTTTTGATTAATGAGAGACGTGTGTACAGCCAGCATAATTGGTACCTCTCAATCGGGCCAGCAATATGCTGTGTAGATTTATCCATTGCCTGTGGGCTGGGCCTCCTACTTATTCATGAACAATACATTGTGGAACTTTGGAAACTTATATTCAAGTACGAACTAATATCAAAATTTATGTTTTATGTATTAGTATTGTAAGCAATACTATTGTACATATTATATAGTATGGTACATAAATATTGCAATATACTGTTTGTTAATTTATTACTTTATTAATTATTAATTTAATCATTCATTTATTAATTCATTTATTCGTTTATCGGTTTATTCGTTTATCGGTTTATTCGTTTATTCATTATTTGTTACCTTATTCACTTGTTTATTTGTTTATTCGTATATTTATTTATTTATTTATTTCCATTTTTAATTATTTATTTAATCATTCATTTATTCATATATTCGTTCATTCGGTTATTTATATACTTGTGTATTCGTTTATTCGTGTATTTATTCATTCGTTTACGCCTAATAATTTATTGATTAATTTATACATACTTTTCTTAGTATATTCGTTTATTTACTCATATAATACTTGCATATTTGTTTAGTAGCTATTTATTCATTCTTTTATTATTTATGTATATACAAAACACAAATTTAATCTCTTACTTTTAAGACCGCCTCAATGGCAAACAAACTTCCGCCAGTTAGCAGCCTTTCCAATTCTTCATACAACTCGGCGACGGCTCAACTTTCTTTACCAAATCTACTGCAGATGCCAAACGCACAGATCATGCACCAGACTTCCCATCAGCCATCCATGAGAACCCAAGGGCAAACGACAGTACTGGGACTTCTAAATGCTTCAAGCCACGGACAATGTAAGTAAAACTGTTGTCGAGGGTAGTTAAAGTTTTTCATGTCTTTTCCCGAACTTTAAAAGTTAAACAAAAAATACTGAAAAAATGTCAAATCAAAACACACAATAAAAAGGGATATTTTAAGTGGCAGCCTATTTGCTAATGACACAATTATCTCTCAAATCCTGTCAAAAGTTTAAATATCCTGCACTACTCATCCTTTACAGGCTTCTGTTTAAGCGCTATTGGGCTGCTACCGGTAAGATTTACCGTAGGCCTGTGATATCACATCTTGCATTCAAAGATACCGCCCCGGTATAAAGATGTACACATGCACTAATTTATTCCTTTCTACATTGGTGCACGATGGTAATAACATATTATAATCCGTGCTTTGCTGTTTCTTGTTTGTTTATGCCCTTTTCTTTGCATTTAAATTTATATGTTGTTTTATGTATCTTTATGAGAAAATGAATTAAATAATTTAAAAATTAGCATGGCCTCTTTAAATATCATTAGGCCTAAATACACAAATGCACGAACTTAAAAAAAACCCAAAAAAAACCCAAAAAAACAAAAAAAACAGCTGCCCCTTTAACAATTTTTCAACATTAACACACCTTAAGTATTAAACTGCACTTTTAATCATTTCTACACACACGCCTTACTAAGAACACTAACCCTTTAGTCATACCTAAAGTAAAAACCTAAAATAATTAACAACAGCCCATTTAAATGCACATGCACAAACCTTCGTCGATGAAAAATTCCCCCTTCAAAAGATTCTACACACAAGTACTGTTTCACAACACATTTCTATTTTTCCAGCTTTAAGCTCTCTACAGAGCCAGGCTCACCAGATCCAGCGAATCACTGGAACCAATATGAGTGGCAACAGTATGCTGATGGTACAGCAGTTACAACAGATTAACGACCAGAGTCAGCAAATCAGGATGACACAGCCACCTCAACAACAACACCCCCAGCACCAACCACAGCAACACAGCCTATGCATGCAACAAAACTTCCTCCAACAACTTCATAATGGTATGGAATACTTAAACAATTGCCTGTGATGACCTAAATCATTTGGAAGATAAAATTAAATGTATCTGAATTGATTACTTTATATAATTAATTTTGTAGCTTAAGTTAAAAATTCAAACGAAAAAATTGTGCAACAAAAATTCAACGTAAATATAGGTCTATAATATATTCGTTTTGACCTGTGCTTATAGTAATTGGAAGGAATTCTCAATCATAATCATCACAATCAGCCTCATTATATCATCATTATTATTATTTTCACTATTAATGTCGTCTTCGTCGTTTCCGACGTCAACCCCTTGCCGCCGTCGTCCTTATCGTCAACGGCGTTATCATCATCATCATTATCACAATCATCATCATCACCACCATCATCATCATCATCATCATCA